AATAGAAGCTTTGCTGAATACGTAACAGCCCAGGTAAAGACTACATTTCCCAGCTAACATGCAGATAGGTGTGGCCATATGACATTCTAGCCAATAAAATGAGACCAGAAATGAGTTGTGCAATTTCCTATTCATTCCCTCAAAAGGAAAGGTGTGTACCTCTCCTTTGTTTTTCTGCCCTTCCCACAGGTTGGAATGGGGATGCAATGGCTGGAGCTGGAGCAGCCATCTTAAATCAGACAGTGGAGCCACCTACTGGTTAAGGAAGGCAGGTAATAAAATAAAAAGCTGCAACCTATCAGCACTGGTTACATTATGCTCAGACTGTTATGAGAGGGGTCAAGAAACAGAGATAGATAGAGGTAGAGATAGAGATAGGATAGAGATACAGATACAGATAGAGATAGAGAAGTAAACTTCTATTTTATTTAAGTCACTGTTATTTTGGCTTCTGTTGTAGCAGGCAGACCTATATACTCAGGAGTGCACCTTAATGTATTAAAGCATTTGTAGCTGGATTTTTTCCATCACCTGCAGCCTGATCTGTACATATACAAGAGAAATGTGCCCCACAATTTATTTGGATCCTGTTCATCATGCAACATTGATGCTGCAGGGGAAGATATTTTGGGTTAAGTTGATGATTATTTTGAGAGCCATGATGTAGACCAGAAAGGGACACTGAGATCAGGACTCACTCTCAGTCACCATGGGTGCTGCGAGGAAGGGCACACTACAGCTATGTGGATGGAGGCACTTGCTCAGGAATGCCAGCACCCCGTGTTATTCACAGTGAGCAGCTGGCGGGCAACAATGTGTACCGAGATAAATTGACAAAATTGGTGCAATCAAACCAAAGCCACTGAGTAGACGTCTTTGGAGCAGCTGTCAGAAGAGATGGGCCAAACAAAAATCTGCTTTTCCAACCTGAGCCACTCTTGCTGTCGAATGAAGGTGCACATCAAATTTTTTTAAATGAGGGACAAGATGAAAAGTCTTTCTCTACAACACAATAACACCGGGGAAAACATTTCCTTTGATTTTTAAGAAACATGACTTGGCTATGCAGTCAGCACCTCGAGTAATCTGATTCTGCCGCCTCGGGGCTAACTTACAATTTTCACAGTCGATGAAAAGATACCAGGGTTTTGTAAGACCAAACCGTGGGGCAAATTTCTTGATCCTCAAGAGCCTGACTCTGTTCCAGCACTTGATGATTTTCTCCACTGCTCAGGGGGAGAAATTGAGACATAGCAATGGGTATATTAAGCCACTTCCAAGAGCCACTGCCACCAAGAAGGAATCCTCTCCAGTGTGAAATGCAACTAAAGCGGAGTGTGGGCTGTTTGTCCTGACAACTTTCCAGCTCTCCGGTGTGCTGTGTGTGGCATCTTCTCTTCTGAAGGGCACTAGAAAGAGGCTTCCATGAGAAATCGCTTCTTTGTCACCTCAGGGGCCGTGTCCAATCCTCAACGCCCAGAACCAGGCACTTGTTCCCATCCCAACAACCTGTGGCTGAGTGATGGGTTGTCTGTTTTGGTGAAACCGACAGTAAAAGAAAAGCAGCTGCCTGGGTGGGAACGGTGAGCTGCTGGTCAGGCTAGCTTGTCACCAGGCCAGATGGGGATGCCTGGCCCATTCATCCATTAGGCAAGCAGTGACTGTGGGCCTACTATGCGCCAGGAACATGGGGGCCTGGAGGATGAGTGGTGAACATTAAAAACTACAAATAAAAAAGGCAGAGGATTACAAACAAAATCACCTCTCTCAACTAAATGAAGCCTTTTGTGTGTGTGGTAAAATATACATAACAAAATTTACCAGTTTTAAGTGTACAGTTCTGTGGCATTAAGTACATTCACATTGTTGTGCTACCATCACCACCATCCATCTCCAGGACTTTTTCATCTTCATGAACTGGAACCCTGTACCTATTAAACACTAACTCCCTATCCTCTCCCAGCCCCTGGGAACCTCTATTCTACTTTCTGCCTCTATGAATCCGACTACTCTAAGTACTTCATATAAGTGGAATCATACAGGATTTGTCATTTGGTGTCTGGTTTCTTTCCCTTAGCATAATGTCCCCAAGGTTCATCCATGTGGTAGAATGTATCAGAATTTTATTCCTTTTAGTAGGCTGAATAATATTCCATTGCATGTACTTGTTGACAGCGCCATTCTATAGTCTCAGATGTCACAGGTCAGAGCAAGGTTGCTCTGAGGGTTTTCAGTTCTGAGGTTCCTGGGTTAGAGGAATGAGATGCTAGGACTAAGACGTGTGGTGTTGTGGGACAGGGTCTGAGTGCACTCACTTCCAGGCCTCAGTGGTGGACATGGGCTCAGTCAGCTGTGTCTTCCCCAAATCCCTTTGGAAGAAGGCTGGCTGCAGGGGAGGCAGCTGGGGAGGGGCAGGAATTCCTGCTAAGCAGTGGAGCCAGGCTGTGGGAATGGAGAGAAAAAAGCAGAGGCGGGACAGATGGAGGAGAAGAGGGAAAGGCCTAGGGTGCCACCTGAGAGAAGCCATGTGTCCCAGGCACCCTGCCTAAACTGGCTGTGGGCTGGCAGGGCTGGCACTGTGTTTGGGAAGGGCTGAGAGAACAGAAGATCATTCATTCATTCAACAAACATCCTCTGAGCACCATCCCCCCTAGGAGCTGGCCTATGGAGATAGGAAGACCCAGCCCCACTGTGCATCTCAAGTCTATGTGGCCTGCTGAAGATCTCTCCAAAAAACCCACTCCCACACAACAATAGCCACCGTTCGTTAGGGGTTCCCCAGGTGCTGGCTACATTCAAGGGCTTTACACTGATTAACACTTAATCCTCACAACAACCCCCATTTTACAAGTGAGAAGGCAACTGCAGCTCAGAGAGGCTGAGTAGCTTCCCCAAGATCACACAGCTGGGAAATGAAGAAGCCCATGCTCATCACCCCAAACTGCCTCTCTCAATGTGAGAGCCTTTTTCGGAGGACACCGAAGGTAACACAGGCAGGGGGTTAACATCACACCTTCTACAGCATCCAACATTTTCTGGTCCCCCTTGGTGGCTAGGACACCACCAAGGATTTCTTCTTCCAGTGCTCTCCACTGTCCCTAGGTCCTCCTTCCTTCTGCCCACGTTCCTGCAGTGCCCACCCCCAGTCTCAGCCCTGTGCAGTGACACACACCCAAACCACCATGGCAGCCTCCACAGAAAGCCTGGCCCTCTGAAAGCAGCCCCACCTCCCTGAGAGCAGGCAGAACTGCTGAGAGCAAATATTTTTCCCCTTTGTCACATAGAGTAATAGACTCTTGAAAAATCACATACGCGGAGGATCACAGCTGAATCTTATAATCTGAGACTCTCCACCAAAGAACCTTAGAACCATCAACTAATAGAATCTCGGAGTCAGTGACTCGAGAATCCCAGACACTACAATTCTACATAACGGCCATGGAGCAGCCCAGCTGGGTGGGCCGACACCGGGCAGGCCAAAAGGGGTCAGGGGGGTGAGGAAGCTTTGGGGTACAGAGGACAGGGTAGGGTAGAGGAGGGAGGCTCAGCCTGTTGTCACGCTAGAGCAAGCAGTTGGCAGGTGAGGCCTAGCTCTGTTACTGATGGTTTTTAATTATGTAAATCAGCCCAGGGCCTGGGCCTGACACAGGCTTGGCATCCATCAGCTGGCAGCAGAATTAATCAATAAATAACCAGCTGGATGGGGCCTGGGCATGAGCACCCAGACACACCCCCTCCACCAACCCAGAGGGGTCCTCCCAAGCTGGCAGGGGCGGAGGGGTTACATGAGAGCTGCAGCTCAAGCTGTCAGTGCATTTGCACAGACACGTACACACACATGCCTGCACACATGCATATATGCACCACACATGCCGCTGCAGCTTTGGACTCACCGTGTGTGTGCACAGGTGGAAACACCTGCACACACAGACCCTCAGCCATAGCAGTCCTGTGCCCGGCACACATCTCCCCACCCAGCGCCCAGCACATGCCCAGAAATACAGCAGCAGGAGGCAAGTCCCTCATTCCAATCTCACCCTTGTCACCTCTTAGGTGGCACAGAGCTTTGCAGCTCAGTCATACCACTTTACCTCCACAAACACCCTGTGAGGCTGACCTTGCAGAGCGGAGGCCCTTGTTTCCAGATGAGGAAACTGAGGCTCAGAGAGGGGACTTGCCTAGGATTGTACCCAGGGCTTCTTCCTCTGCACCCCACCCCCACTCTAAGGTTCAAAGAGGCTGCAGGCACAAGAGAAGTGGGGGGGAGAAGTGGGGAGGAGGGGAGTGCTGGGGTCCTGAAGCTACCTGGGCGCACCTGCTATCTTGAGAGCAGGATCCTTGGTGACCTGGCAGAGAGTACGGCAAGCAGGGAGGCCTGGTGGGAGCCAGGCCTCCGGGGCCCAGGCAGAGTGGAGCTGGGGGCCGGCGCTCTCTGCTCTCCTAGGGAGCTGTGATGAATTGCTCTCCCCCACCACTGGCGCACTCACACCCACTCCCCAGCCCTGCCCCATAAATCAGCCTCCTCCACTCAGCCCTTGGCTGTTCCTTGATCACTTTCCAATATTGGGGTTGGGGTTTTCCACCTTCCCTAGTGGCAGGAGAGAGCTGGCAGGGAGAATCGTAAAATTAATGGACAAGTTTCTTCTCACCCTCTCTTCCTTCCCTCTGCCTCCGGCTTTCTGCTGGCCTTTATTTCTCTTTGGTTGGGATCACTAAATACTGAATGAGGAAATGAACCAAGACATGAATACATTTCTGAGACCTGGAGCACTGTGGGGCTCTGGGTCTGGCTGACTGTGCAGCTGGGGTCAGCTCTCAGCATCCCCTTCCCTCAGTCTTAGCCCAGGGGCTTCCCAGCAGCCACCTCGCCAGGAGGCAAAAAGAGGAAGTGGGAAGGTGCCCCATGGAGTTGGCGCAGACCCTGTGGGCACAGACCCTGTGGGCACTGGGGGAGGCTGTGAAAGAACCTTGAGAACCAGGGCCCCCAGGGCTGTCAGCCTTCTGGGGCCACCACCCCGTGGAGCAGCTGATGAAAGCCGTGGCCTTCTGCAAAGGTCCAGTGGGCACAGCACTGGGAGCTCAAAACGGTATGGAGCAGTACCAGTAGCTCGGCCTCTGGAGCCGGCCTCCCCACGTCCAAATCCAGGCATGGCCACTTAGCAGCTGTGTGACCCTGGGCAAGATGCTTCACCTTCTGTGCCTTCGTTTCCTTCTGTGTAGAGTGGACCGAGCAATCATATTTGCATCACAAGTGCATGGGCACCTACTCTTTAGAAGAGCTGTTGGTAAGCACAGTTAAATGCTCTAAATATCAGCAATTGTTACCATCATTAAAAGCACTGGTGCGCAGACCTTGGCGTACAGCTGAATACTCTAGAGGGCTTTAAAACCCAGGCCACTGCCTGCCCACCCCACCCAACCTTCTAGTTCTGCCTCAGTAGGTCTGGGGAGAGACCTGAAGTTTGCATCTCTAACACGTGTAACCAGCTGATGCTGGAACTGCTGCTGGTCCAGGAGCCACACTTTGAGAACCCAGTGCTGCCCAGGTTGGTGCTCACTTTCCAGCCCAGATCCTTTGTCTACTCTATAATTTGGGAACTGAGGCCTAGAGGGTGAGGGTGCCCTGGCCTCAGGCTCTTGACAGGAAGAAAAGGGCCCTGGAGGTGGAGGTGGCTCCGTCAGTACCACCTCTGCCCTCCTCGCCACCCCCCATGGCTCCAGGAGCAAAGAGGCAGAATTTGCCTTCCCAGCCAAAGGTAATCTTTTAATCTCTTTGGTTTTAATCTTGCAACCCAGCATAAACCCAAATCCACACAGAGGAAGCAAGGGGGTGGGGAACACAGATCTGGTGTCAGGGGGAGCCTAGTAATTGAGGCTTTAACCCTGCACTTCACCACAGATCTCCCATCCCATCTCTCCCCCTCCTTACCTCTCCTCCAGATGAGACTTCTAATAGAAAATGAGGCAGAGAGAGGTGGGTAGGGTGAGGCCAGGTAGAGGCATGTGTTAAAAAGACTGCTTTGGGAGGCAAAGCATTCTTAAACAGGGCACAAAAAAAACAATAGCCATAAAAGAAAAACATGATCGATTCAGTTTTATTCAAATGAAGAACTTATGTTTAGCGAAAGACACCATTAAGAGAAAGAAAAGCCAATCCACAGATGCAGAGAAGATATTTCAATACATACATCTGACAAAGGACTAATATCCAGCATATATAAAGAACTCCTAGAAATCAATAAGAAAAAAAGGAACAACTCAATTTTGTTTAAGTAGACAAAAGATATGAACTAGCACTTCACAAAAGAGAATATCAAAATGGCCTACGTGCACATGAAAAGACATTCAACCTTAGCGACTGTCAGAGAGAACGCAGATTGAAATCACTATAAGCTACCGTTTCACCCTCAGAAATGGCCAAAATTTAAAATACTGATAATATCCTATATCAGAAAGATGAGGATCAACTCTCCTCTACAGCTAGAGGGAGTTTCAGTAGTTCAATCTGTTTGAAGAGCAGTTCGGCAGTTTCTTATAAAGTCAAACATACACCTGTTCGATGACCCACCCTTAGGCACTTACCCAAGAGAAGTGAGAGCACGTGTCTGCACAGAGACGTGGTCATGAATGCTCACTGCAGCTTCACTCATGACAGCTTCAGACAGAAAACCACCCAAATGCCGTCCACAGGTGAACAAGTAAACAAATAGTGGAAGCTTACTCAGCAATAAAAAAAAAAAGAATCAACTGCTATATACAGGCCACAACCTGTGTGACTCTCACAGGCTAAGTCCGAGAACATGAGAACATGCTGTGTGACTCTGTTTACATGAAGTGTGAGAACAGGCAAAAGCAATGTCTGGTGACAGAGGGCAGGAGAATGGCTGCCTTTTGGGTGAGGGAGGGGCGTTAGTAACTGGGAAGGGAAGAGTTTTGAGGGGGCCCTCTCAGGGCCTGAGAGCTGTGGAGCGGGAGGGGCAGGGACTAGGTCACTGGGCCGGGGTCACCTGGGGCTGGGCCTGCAGGAGAGCGTCAGGAAGTCTCCCCAGATGGGCCACCATCTGCTGGCCACCCATATCCTCGAGACTCTAGCCTCCCCCTATCCTGCCTTCCCAGGTGGACCACTCAAACCTCCCAACTCAATGCCTAGCTGTGCTATCACTGCTGTCATCACAATTCCTTCTGGAACATACCTGCAGGCACAGAGCCCATGCTTAGCAGCCTTTTCCCCTCTCCCCCTCTCGCCCTCGCCCCTCCATGGTTGTCCAGCAGAACCCCCTTCCCCAAGGCTGCAACTGCTACAGAATACTAAGGGGGAAATTAAACACCAAACTAGCGAGCCCCTGAAGGGCCTGGTTCCTGGCACTCACTGCTGGGGCTCTTTCCCTCACGCTCTCTGGCTGTTGGGTCTGAAACAGTCGCAGCACCTGGAAAAAGGCAGGCTTCACCTTGGGGTGCACAGGACTCCACTGTACTCTGTGGCAGAGACCACAGGGTTCCCTTAAAACATCCTGCCTCCCCTTCACCTTAGTAACAAACACGCGTATGGCCAAGTGCCCAGCCAAGATGCCATGTTTCAGCCTCCCTTGCAGCTAGGAGAGGCCAATGAGGGGCGGGTGTAAGTTAGGTGGGACACAGGAGAACATTCGGCTGCGCAGTTCCCACCCACCTACCCCTAACCCTGGAAAATAGATGCGATTATGGAAATCTAGGAGCCACCTTGGAGCATGAGGTGACCTTGAGGATGGAAGCCAAAGGACTAAAACTGGGACTAAAGGAGAGAAGGAGCCTGGTCCCTGATCACACTGTTGAGCCCCCGCACCAGCCCTGGATGCAGACCTCCTGACATCCTTTATGTAAAAGAGAGAGAAGCCTCAATCTGCTTTAAACTGCTTTGATCTCTACCTTAGCAATGGGAAGCCATCACTAACTCATACACAAAAGCCTGAGAGGTAGTACTACTGTGCAACCACCACCTCTGGCATCCCCATTTTACAGAGGCACCCCCAGCCTCCCTGCCTTCCTTTTAGCTACCCAGATGCCCGACAGCCCAGCATTCAAATCCCAGCTCCCAGCTACTGTGAATCCGCCTTGGCCTGACCTGGAGTGGGTCTGCAGCCCAATATCACTGATGCTGCATGTGGACCAGCGGCTGGAGCTGTTGACACAAGTGCTGTTGAGACAGCAAAGTGCTGGCCTGGATGACATGTCTGTTGGAGAGATAAAGGGGAAGCCAGATAATAGTTACAAAGAACAAACAAGCAAACCGAATACTAGCTGTGTGGGGTAAAAACGTCTCCTTCAAACTCCTCCTCTGCCTTTGCCACATAAAACTGAGTCATTGGCAAGAAGCTGTCAGATGGGACTAAGGTTTGTGGGTCTCCTGCAAGGGGGGCACCGTTAAACCCACACCATGACCACCCTACAGAGCTGTCCTACGATGCGTGGCTGAGAAGCCAACAAAGGCACACCAGGCAGCCAGGGTTCAAATCGCAGCTCCAGGAACTGTGTCATATCAGGGCAAACTCCTCACCCCCTTTGCACCTTAGTTTCTTTATCTGTAAAATGGACACCTTACCTAGGGTGTCTGTGAGGATTATGGGAACTGACCTGGGAAGAGCTTGGAGCAATGCCAGGTACCTCAGGAGGGGCTCTGAAGGATTAGCTGCCATTGTCTTGTTTGAGGTGAGAACTTCATTTCTTTATTGTCTATTTGTTAGAGGAAACTGAATTTACTCACCAGTTTTGGCACATTTCATCCGCTGACTTCACACTAACTGCTCTGATTATAATTAACCCTGTGTAGAGTCTCCTGATGCCAGAAGAAGCAACCCAGAGCGTTTTCCTCTCACTCAGGCTGATGCAAGTAAAACTAAGTGGTGATTATAAGCGATTCATTTGTCAAGCACAAGGTCAAGAATCTCAATTTGTCCGTGTCATAAGGCAGCACAAGGAAGCTCCCTGCATCCCAAACTCTCTCCCCTCTGACACTGAGTGAAATTCCACCCTTAGAGCCAGAGAACCCCTCAGAGGAGAAGCAATTCAGGAGCACGTATCCAGGTCAGCCGGGGGGAAGGTCCGGGAGGGCAACGCCATAGGCAAATTTTGGACCTTCTCAGGGTAGCTGAGGATTCTGTAGCTGTGAGCTCAGTCTCACCCACTTACACACACACACACACACACACACACACACACACACACACACACACACACACCATAATCGCTTTACCCCAGCCAGCAGCAGGGACTTAAGCTGCTATCTAGGCTAGCCCCACCCCCCACCCCCAGCTGCAAACAGCCACCTCTGTCCCAAGGCAGGGGGTGGGGCGAGGTTCCCAGAGTCTCAGCAAGGAAACCCTGCAGGGCTGGAAGCTGAATCTAACAGATCTAGCAGCCACCAGTGGTAACGCACAACCCTCTCTCCCTCTCACACACACACATTCCCTGACACCGTCGTGCAGAGACCACACAGTCGGAGACAACACGCTAGACACAGACACACACTGAACTGTCCTCCCAAGGGCATGACAAATTCCGAGAAACATGACTGTCCTGTCATGAAGAAAGCCACAGCTGTGCACGCCCACAAACAAGGAAGACACATACAGAGAGGAATATCACACACAGCCCACTTTTCCCCCGGGGCTCTCTGCCCCTGTACCCCCATTCCTGCCCCTAGCTAGGCATTGTCCCCAGAGGCTCTCAGCTCCCCTCCTCTACAGGAGCCTCAGGAACCAAACCCCATCAGGGTTCCTTTTCCTCCCCCATCCCCTTCCCAGTACTCAGTCCCCACCCCACCCCACCCCACAGAAGTCTTCTCACTCCCCATCTTTCCTCCGTTAACTCCCCTCCTGGCCCTGGGAACTGTGAGAACCCAGGAACATTTTTCTGCAGTCTCCCCAGCCCCCAATCACAGGGGCTGCATACAGTGGGTGCAGGGCCCCGAACCTCCCCCAGTCCTTGTGGGGCTCACTCCTCCGTCCATGAAACTGGCGGCTCTTCTTTTTCCAGCAAGCGCGTGAAAACACAGATTAGAGCAATTAGAGAAAAGTCTTTGCAGGGCAAGGCAGGAGCCACAGCCGCACCTAATTACCAGCTCCAGCAAGACACGGCAAAGCACAGACCCACTTGCACAGAGTGCAGATCTGCACAGATTCCAGTCCAGGAGGTCGAGGGAGAACGGCAACCAGGTTCCATGTCAGAGTCTCTCGGTTTTGTTCAAATCTGCTCTCTGCTGTTTGCAGCAGCTTTCACATCCATACTGCCAAGAGAGAGAGGCAGGGAGAAAATAATTTCAGTTCCATTTTACAGAAGGGAAAACTGAGGGCCCGGGAACTGGGGAAGGACAGTTGCCGAAGGCCCAGTCCACCTGTACTGGTCTTCCTGGATGAATAGCGACTCCCGTCCCCAGCAGAAGCCCCGACTTGTCTTTGGTCTTGTTCTCTGTCCCTCTCTCCCTGGAAAGAATCAGAAAAGAGTTGAGGTACAGGGCAGATCCAGGATCAGGCCACCAGCGTGCTGTCCGGTGCTTACTGTGGGCTCAGCATCTGCATGTGGGCGACTTTGCCCTTCACCAAATGGCCAGATTATTTAACTGATGACTGCTGTCCCCAGCTGGTCATGTTTTGCTGAACCTAGTAAAGAGATGTGTTGTGCGCTTTTTACCCCTGGCAGGGAGGAGGGAAGATTTTCTCACAGTCTGAATGCATGGGGTCAATTTTCCTGCCCCCTTATCCCATAAGGCCCTTCCCAACCTGACCTGGTTCCCCCAGCAGCACCCCAGGCATCCAAACCTTCCAGCCAAGCTCACCTTGCCCTGGCCCTGGCCCTGGCCCTGGCCCTGGCCCTGGCCCTGGCCTGGGCATGCAGCCAGCGATGGGGCAGGAGTGCCCCCTGGTGGTGATGGCCTGCACTGCCCACGGAGACTCCAACCAGGGATCTAGGTAGCCACACACCTCCAGAATTGCCTGACTAGGCAAAGGAGCATGAAGGCTTGAGAAAGAGCTTCATCAGGGCCTGGAGGAGTTAGCGTTGCTCCATTTCTGTTCCAGCAGCAGGGAGCATAAGAGGCTCCTGGGTGGCAAGTGGACACCAAGCATGGTCAAGAAAGAGGGCAGGGGAGGATGCCCAGTATCCAGCATGGCCCATCAGAGGAACCCAGGAAATGTAGGATGGATGAATGAAGGAACGAGTGAATGAATGAGCACATCAATTCACAATTTCCTGAAAGGTGATGTGAATATCACGAGTAATATACAAGGTAATATTTAGATAATAGTGATGAACTTGTTTAAGAATGATGTACTTATTTTGATATGTGCTTGATATAATATATCTGGCCCATCAGATCCATGATACAAAGTTTATTTTTAAACTTTAAAGATATTTAAAGGTTTTTAACTATTTTTTATATATATATAAATTATTTAAATTAAAAATAGTTCAAGATATCTAAAGTAAATATCTTTAGGTGAAAAGAATCAGTGTGAAGAAAAACATTTGGCAAATAACATGTGGGTATCTCAGAACCTAACACAGGAGGTGTTCCATAAACGCTAGTGTAATAAACGAATGAATGAAGAGATGGGTACGGATGATCTTTGTAGAGCAGTAGTTTCCAAACTTGGCTGTACATTGGAATCACCTGGGAGCTTTAAAAATAGATCTCTGGGGAGGAGACCCGTTAGCTCAGTTGGTAAGAACGTGGTGCTGATAACACCAAGGTTGCCGGTTCAATCCCCGCATGGGCCACTGTGAGCTGCACCCTCCCTAAAAGAGTCAACTGTGCCATTGTAGCATGAAAGCAATGTGTAATGGCTGTTCCCCAATTTAAAAAATTATATAGATAGATAGATAGATAGATAGATAGATAGATAGATAGATATAGATATATATACATGGGCAGGTATGTTTCTCTAAACCTAGGGTAGCTGAGGAGGAAGCTGGTGTACCCTGGACAGCTCCCAGAGAGGACAGTCACAAGCACTCAATTTGGGGTCCATATAAGGAGCAGCCTGGTGTCACTGCCATTTGAAATAGTGAAACTGCCGTCATTGGGGGAAACAAGCTGTTCTTGGGTGGCCTGGGATTCCTATGCTGGGTGAGAGGTTGGACTACACGAACTTGAAGGTATCATGCAAAATGAGCTAATGTTTGTGTAAACTAGCTTCTAAATTGACACATAGTATAAACTTAATATGTATTTACTATGGTTCTAACATACTGACTATTTCTCATTCATTCACCCTGCACATCATGCTTTATTTGGCATATGTCTTTATTATCAGTTAATGTAAATATAACATTACTTTCTGGGCAGGACATAGAGAATTTGATGTCTTGAGTTTATTGACAAGTGAATTTTTCATTTATGTGAATTTTCTCACCTAAAAACAAAATCTCCTTGAAATCTGTGACAAGTTAACTGTGAACATACATATAATGTCATTAAAGTGGTTATAATCTAACTGGATTCTGACTGGCACATAACAAATTTTGGTTACTTTCTTGATTTTTTAGTTGGAAGAGTGAGTGTTTGGTGTGGGCTTTGTAAGAGGAGCTATCTGCTTCTAAATCCACATATAGTCTAGAACGTGTAGGTTGAGTTAATATTTGATGTGTGAGTTGTTCCGTTATCTCATTAAATACTATTGATAAGAGAAAAAAAATTTCAGTTACAAATTTTTATGGCTATACTTCTGGGAAACAATTGATAAAAATAAATTTTGTGTTATTTGGAAAGGTTAGCATACAAATCAAGATTGAGCCGGATTTTTGGTATCAGTTGAATGGTATTCAAGTAGCATTTTTTTAACTGTAAATGGATTTTTAAAACATAAAACATGAATAAATTTTACATAGCACAGGGTCAAAATTAGTTCTGTTGATGGCAAGTTATTCGATATTAATTCCATCTTATGAACAAATGCAATTAAGTTGCAAATCCCTTAACAGTGGTAGGCCAATGTTTTAATCAGTATTAGGAAATGTCAGATTAGCATCCCCAAGGAAGAAGAAATCTTTGGCACAATGTGGAAAACATATGTGTTAGTTTTAAAGCAGTGCCTTGCTTTCTTACGTGACTACAGGGAATCTAAATTGGTACTTCCATTCTTGAGAGTAACTGGACAGTATCTGCTTAAATGATAAACCCACCATCTCTTTAGTTTACCAATCCTACCACTACAAATTTATCCTCCAATATATTCACATGTGCGCATAATACCATGTGTACGAGAAAATTCGTTGTAGCATTGTCTGAACAGCACAGTTGGAAACGACCTGAATATCCATCATTAAAGAACTGGTTAATAGATAACTGTATAACTACTCTTTGAAATACTACATGGCTATAAAAAAGAATGAGAACTCATTCACAAACAAAAAAAAACCAGCCCAAATGAAAACTGGGCAAAGGACTTAAATAGACATTTCTCCAAAGGAGATACACAAATGGCCAGTAAGCACATGAAAAGGTGCTTAATATCACTAATCATTAGGGAAATGCAAATCAAAACCCCAATGAGATATCACCCCATACCCATTGAGTATTATTAAAAAAAAAAAACAAGCAGAAAATAACAAGTGTTGGCGAGGATGTGGAGAAATTGGAACCCTTGTGCATTTCTGGTGGGGATGTAAAATGGTGCAGCTGCTGTGGAAAACGGTATGGCAGTTCCTTAAAAAAATTAAACATAAAATTACCATATGATCCAACAATTCCACGCTTAGGTGTATTCCCAAAAGAACTGAAAGCTGGGATACAAACAGATATTTAGTACACCTGTGTTCATAGCAGCATTATTCGCAATAGCCGAAAGATGGAAGTGACCCAGATATCCATGGGTGGATAAATGAATAAACATACACATACAGTGGAATAGCATGCAGCCAGGAGGAGGAATGGACTTCTGACACATGCTACAACATGGATGGACCTTGAAAACATTATGCTTAAACATTATGAAAAAGTTTTGGTGGTCTTTGCCCAAATATCATGAATGTAATTAATTCCACTAAATTTTACACTTTCTAAAAATGGTTGGGGCCGGCCGAGCGGCGCGATGGCTGGGAGCTGGTTTGGGACGCCAGAGGGCCCCGGTTGGGATCCCGCGTGTGGGGGCCGGTGACACTGCCCTCCGCAGCTGGGATGCTGGGCAACAGGCTCAACCTGGAGCTGGGCTGCCGTGGGTCGCCGGCGACGGCGTGGGCTACGGCCCCTGTGGCAGTGGGTTGCCATGGGCTACCATGTGTGGCCGGCAGCCGGCGTGGGCGGCCTTCCGGAGGCCGGCGACTGATCTGCCTCACCAGGGAAGAGCGCAGTGATGAGGCCAACTTGGGCCAGTGGGGCGGCGTCCTCCACAACTAGACTGAGGAATGGGAGGACAGCAGCTTGTCTGTTCCCCTTCCCCCAGTTCCCCAGCGCTGTTCCCATCCCCTGCCAATTCCCCAATTAAAAAAAAAAAAGTTAAAATGGAAATTTTAATGTAATACACTTTAATACAAATTTTTTAAATGTATCATGTAATTTTTAAAGGGGAGGGCTGTGGGGAGTCTAAATCCCCTCTCTTTGAATATGGGCTGGCCTTGGTTGCTGGCTTCTAACGAAGCCACCTGACTCCTAGGCCAGGTCCTAAGAGGCAATCCAGCGTCTACCTAGCTCTCCTGGCTGGGAGCCCTGAGCCAATATGTAGGAAGTCCAGCTACCCTGCAATGTCAACCGTGGAGACCTCAAAGAGACAGGGAACAAGGTCATGTGAGAGAGCGTGCAGGTGATCCTCGCCCCAGCCTGGAGCCACCCCAGCTGACACCAAGGGGAACAGAGATGATCCGTCCCAAGAGCCCTGCCCAAATTGCAGATTTGTGAGCAAAATGAGCAGTGTTGCTGTTTTAAGCCACTAAGTTTTTAGGGCATTTTGTTATGCAGCAATGGATAAATGGAACACTAAGCATATTATTTATGTATTGGAATTTATTTCAATTTAATTTAAAAATAATCAGATACAAATAAAACAGCTTTGGACTACATAAATGTCTCTTGCAAACCAACTGGCAAATTGAGTGTTTTCACTCTCATGGTCTGTATCCTGCCTCTTGTAAAGTCATTAAAGGTGCAAAGATGCTTTCACCTGAATACTGAATGGAGCTGGAGGATCAGTGGGATGGAGAGACTGGAACATAGGTCCATCTGGAAGGGCTTTTTGCCCAGAAGATGAATATGTGAGTGAAAAAAGAGAAAGATTGAGAGGGCTACATCACATGGTTTCCAACCCAGCAGGGTCAAATTAAAGACAAACCTGGTCAGTAGGTCCTTGAAATAAAATTCAGAAGGTGGAGGAGTTTTGTGAGGGATTTGTATATCATGCAAGAGAGAGTTTCAAGAGGCTTGAGAAGGAAGAGAATTTCAGACCAGGACCACTAAGGGGCTGAAAGTTTAGGAGTCACGTTTAGAAGAATTTCAAAACAAACCCACAACGTGTCCTCCCCCAACAATCTCCACTGTTGC